CTCTAGGATACTATTTATCTTATAATAATATAGTAGGACACGCTTATAGATGATTCCTTAAGTATAGAAATACTATTAGAGATTATATCTAATATATTTACTACTATTGTCTAATTTAAATGTCTAAACTTTAGAGTATTATAGTGTATTAGAAAATTAGGTGTATAGGAGTGTAACAAAGTTTTTAATAGTTTGTGGTATATTAGCTTTTAACTTTAGGAAGCAAATCTATAAATGCTAAGTGTAATTATCTATAAATAAGATATAGTACTATAAGCTACTAATACTTTTAGTAGGTATCTTGCTAGATAGATTAGAATAAATTATTTAGAGAGGCCTTATCTAGCGTGGTGTCCTATACGTAGGTACGCAATGCACTAACTTAGACTGTTAGTATATTATATATGCAAAGTTAAGCAGTTATAATAGTACTAAGTGCCTATTAGCGTAAATCCTAGATAGGTTTAGTATGTGTAGGTGTCCTATTACCTTATAAAATTCTTGGTATATCCTAAATATATATGTAGCCTTAGCTTGTGTAGCTACCCCTATTATCTATATTATAAATAGATAGTTTATAGTAGGAGAGCTTAAAGCTAATACTTAGATGTAACTAGATATTATAGGTAGAACGCGTTTAATTATCCCTAATAGGAGAGGTGTATTAGAGAGAGCTGCGAACGCTAATAGTGACTTTAGGGGATGTTCTATTTAAATCTAGATAAGTCTATTAATATGCCTTACCTATAAGGTATATATCCCTTATCTAGATAGAAAGATATTATCGCCTTCCCTATATATCTTAAACCTATACTGCATATATAACTATAAGAATAGTTAGGTTCTATAGAGTTTAGCGCTATAGATAGTTTGTATTAGTTTAGTAATATAGGTAGAGCTGTTAGGAAGTCTATATTATAGTTAAACTGTCCCTATACCTTGTATAGGTAGCTTAATTCTGCTAGTGATAGTAATTATGCCTAACTTTAGGGTTAAGGACACGAAGTTATCTGCATAGCTAGACATATGCTTAGAAGCACTAGTATTATAGAGCTATACAGGTGGATTAGTAATTAATAGTTTGTAGATTGCGGCGTATGCACTTACTAAATTTCTAGAGTGTTTACTATTTTTATTAATAGTAGGCTATAATAGTAATAATAGTAGAGAAGTTAAATCTATATAAACTATATAGCTAACTACTATAGTAGGGCTATTAATATCTAATTCTCCTTTATTATTCTTAGTAATAGTATTTGCCTTCTATTATTTAGCTAGCTATGTATTATTAGTTTTTGTCTTTAGCTATGCCTTCTCTTTATGTTTCTTAAGAGCGACATAGTTAGTATAGATATAACTAATATAGGATAAGCTGTGTTTTTAGCACTATATATATATTAACTTAGTAGTAGTAGTGTTAAGCTATTTACTAGGGTTAGGAAATAGTTTCTATAATATAGATTATCTAGTTATATATATAGCTGTAGAATTAATATTAAGGGAGTGTTTTTCTAAAATATTAAGGATCTTAGGTTTAATATTATAGAATATAGTAACGTTCCTAGTTAACAAGTTGTTAATAATATTATCTATTATCTCTAGTAAGGTGGCTAGAAAGAATAAACCTTTAACGTAGTTAGATTTAAATATAGCTCTTATTATAGTGGCTATAGGTTATATAGATGTTGTGTATCTTTTAGCTATACGTGTCTAGCGTTAATAGAATTTGTTAAGATAGATACAGAGGTTATCTCTATTATAGTATTGCAGATTTGTAAGTGACTAAAAGAGGAGAATAGATACATTTCTAGTATCCTAATTAAACCTGTTAGCTAGATACTTCTAGGCTTCTAGAGAAGTCTTGCAACTAGTAATGCTTATTATAAGGTTATTATAGATAGATAATAAGAGTATTACTAGGGCTTTATTGTTACCTTTGTCCTATTCCTCTATATTAAGGTGTAATATTAGGCGTAGTTTCTTCCCTAAAAGGATAGGCTAAATGCCTATATATTAGAATGCGATAGTCTAAGCAGACTACTATTCTAGGTAGTTTTTACTACGCGAACCTAGTTTAGGCAGTAATAATAGATCTAAGTAGAAGTTAAATACAGGCTTAGATGTTATAACTAGTAATAGTAGGAGTGGGGTAGTTAGGCTAATCTGTGGGTAGAGGGGAGGTACCTCTAACAAAGTAGCTAAGGGTAGTAGTGCTTGTAGTAGTAACTTAAACAGATTGTAGTATAAGGAAGCTATAGTAGCGTTGTAGTGTTGTGGTAATATAGCAGCTAAATAGGTTTATAGTAGAAAGGGTATTATAAAGAGTAATTAATGTAAAACGTTGCTAACTGTAGAAGCTAATAAAAGGCTAATACTAAAGAATACTAGTGGTGAAGACCAGGCTTATAACCTGAAGTTATTGTAGAAAGTATTAATTTAAAACTATTATAGGGGTTAGGCCGCTATATATACGCGTCACCACTAGTCCTAATCAGGACATGTTAATAACCTATCTACCATGGATGGGATGAGGGCAGTGACCATGGTCGGGAGGGCAATGACCATGGTTGGGTGTCAACCGGTGAAAGGCAGGTGCCAGCAATGCAAAAATAACATAGTGACGGTTGAAATGTATACTACGTAGGCTCAGCATTTGCCAAGTTTGTTGCGTGTAGTATAGGGGCTGGAGAACTTATAGGAGATGGCGACAAGATCATGGCCATCACAATACAGTTCGGTAAGAGTATGACGCCGAGGTCTGTGGTTGATCGTTCTTGTC